AAGCTAATGTCCATCACTTTGTTTATTGATTATGTCACCTTATTGCTTTGACCAATATTTATATTTCACTGAATTTAAAATTATTCTTCTCCTATCATGTGCCCCATCTCCATTTTCCAGCAAAAAGGGAAATGGAGAACAATATTAAAGAATGAGGTGCTGTATTGTATTAAGTCTAAAAAGAGGAGTGCTATCCTTCTTGACAGCAGCTAAGTCATTGCTCATTAGTAGCTTTTAACACATCATTCCAAGAATGACACAGATTTTTCAAGGGTCACTTAGTCTCCTGAAATTTAGTCAGAGCTAAATTTAATGCATACCAGTTCACAAGCAGGAACAAACTGAATGGTCAGTGTAGGAAAGCTTTTTTTCTCCTCAGCTCTTTGACTCCTTTGTGTGGGCACTTAGCATTGCCTAGTAGTTGTGGCTTGTCTTGCTCTGTTTCTTTTCTCTTCATTAATAAGCCTCAAAGAACAAGTTTACTGGTACACTAGTACTGAAAGCAAGCTAAGATCTTCAGACTGAAAAAGGGGGGACTTATATCACATCTCATATTTATTTGCCCCAGGAAGGCAAAGCCAGCAGGTTGTTGTTAACCCTTCCACTTGGTAATGCTACTTGCATAGAGAGATCTTTCACAGCAAGCTGCTAGGGAGCATATTTCTCTTTACCCAAGAGTGGTACCTCGGCGTTAGTCCCACAGAGAATTGGCTGTGACAGCCTTCTGCAAGCTGAATGGATAATTGCTATCCTATGAGTGAGCTAAAGGAATAGTTTGAAGATGTTAAAAGCCTTCTGACATTTGGACCATTTGCACTACAAAAACAATGACACAAAATCTTCATTAAAATCCAGTGCATAATCTACAGCCCCATGTCCCTACTGCATATACAACTGGAAAATGAAAGGCAGCCTGTTAAAGCAGTTCCTCTCTTTGAAGCTTATCTGTGCCTGTTGTGGGTCTCCACAGCTCTGCTTTTGTCTATCTGATTCCTAATATCCACATTTTGAACATGGTATTTGCAGGAGGTACTCCTCAGGATAGCTTCACCAATGCTGTCACGTTGTAGGGCAAAACTGTTGGATTCTGGTCTCACCCTTCCAAGCTCAGTCACTTGTGGTCTCAGCTACAACATCCTGCCCTCAGGTAATAGACAAGAACTTACCCTCAGGCACAGGGCAGCTCCTCATAAAAAATCTCAAGAGTTTTCTTAAAAATCCTTAAAAAAAATCCTTCAAAATCCTTCATCTCTCAAATGTATGTCTCAAAAATCTTGTCAACTGATGCCTTGGGGTCATGGTTATTATCCACCTTGCCGATCAGCACTGTTTTCCCATGTCATACACTGTGTCACCTGGCTCTTGGAATGCCTTTGTTGTTTCTATCAGAACTAGTTCAACTCAGTTCCAATCTTGTGGCTAAGTTAATACCTGGAACAGGATGTGTATTTAACTGCTAACTTGCTGCTGCACTGATTCAAGCTTCAATGACTCTTCCATTTTAAATTTGAATGGAACTGTTGCCCAGCTCTCATGTAATTAAGTGTTCTCATTATTTACACTCCACAAGCACAGGAGAGTTCTGTCTATATCTGCAAAGGCTTGGCTTTCATAGATGCTTGATATAGGTAATGTTAGCCAAAAAAATAATTAAGTTCCTTGAGATTTTTAAGTACAATGGCTGTTCTGCTTTGACTAAACTCATGTGGGTGGAAATCTTCAAAACCAATAGAGTAGCCCAACCTCTTCCTAATGATCTCCATGGAGGTCTCATCAGTGACACAACATGATGCCAAGGCTGAGCCCTTCCGGAAACAAAAACTTCTTAGGACCTGCATGTGCTGGCAGAATTAGCATTTGCATTTTTATTTCTTTCAAGTCTTTTGCTGGGAGCAGTTTATTAGTGCTGTGGAGTCATGTTTTGTCAGTACCTGGCAGTCAAGTATAGCTGATCCTGCCTTGAATTTCAAGCTGGATTATTTCTCAATATTGATTTTTCATGGGCCCATGACATCTGTGTAGCAATTAAAGAAATAAATCAATCAGATGCTGACAGCACATCTACCTTCTTAAATGTCTTCAAAGTGCTGCAGCTTAATCAGAGCAAAACCACAACCTGAAGTAGGGCCTTGTGTGCTTTTGTTCACCTGGGGTCCACAGCACCAAGCTGGGACTTTCTCCTCACAGTCGGAAGTTGCTTTACTTTTATTGTACTAGTGTGAATTTGTATTGTAATAAACGCTCAAACCCACAGCTAATAAATTGTAGCCTGTTACATCCCTGTGGACCAGCTCAGACACAGTAACTCTGCCTGGGAATTATTTCTGTCAAATTCAAGATAACAGCACTTTGTTTTGAACTACTTGTAAAGAAGCTAAATACTGGCAACCTGCTATTTCCATCAAGCAGAGAGCACTTAGATAGTTACTCCAACCCAGTTCATTTAGGGGAATCTTGAACTTGGTCACATAGCTGAGGAGGAGATGGGCACATAGACCAGTGGAACAGAGTCCTCAGTTCAAAAAATTTCTGCAGCATCATTTGCATTCTGGCTCACTTGTCCTGAAAAGAAGACTGTGGAGTGGGGAAGGCAGTGCTGCTCCAGGAGCAATGCTTCCCTGCCTCATGGCATGGCCAGCTGGATTGCTAAACAACCCCAGCTGCAATATCCTCCAGCTCCCTGCTCAAGGGCAGACTGAAAACAGTGCCAGTGCCAGTTCAGCCAGCCTTGCAGTGGGAGGAGATGGGCAGCTGGCTGTGGTTCCAACAAATGTGATATTTATTCCTTTAATTATCTGGACTGTCATGCAACCCACCATGTTGCACCTGATTTCAAGAGCAAAATACAAACCACTGTGTTGCACCTGATTTTGGGCAAATTTCAGACAGTGAGAGTACTTGAATGCACACAAATTTGTCCACGCAGTTCAAGGAAGAAAGTTCCCAGAAATGGAGAGAGCCAGCTGCTGTCTGCAGCTACCTGATGGAAAGATACAGGAAAGATGAAATCAGACTTCTCTTGGAGATGGGTGGCACCAGGCCAACAGTCAATGGACTCTAGTGAAAGCATGGGAAAATCCATTTAGATAGCAGAAAAAACATTTTTTACCTTAAAATTGAGCAAATGCCGATGAGGTATCCCTAGTTAAATGCAAGACAATTTAAATGCTAACCTTTGTTTTATTCAACAGTGTACTGCATGAAAAGGCAAAATTTATTATAATTTAATTGTGTTTTAAGTAAAGACAGTGCATTCATTAGAGAACAGTGGCAATTCCAAGTAGGCTTGTCACAACAGGAGTACTAACATGATTTACAAAGGACTCTGCAGTATCATCAGCAGTAGTAATACTACTGAAATATTTCCATTTGAATAAGCATTTCTAAGGGAAGGGGGAAAAAGAAAAAAAAAGAAGAAAAGAGAAGCTTATTTTACTTACATTTCATGATTCCAGAAATGCATTTTGGATAGAATCTTTCCCATCTAGTAGGTGTGAGGGCTTGAGTTTTCAAACTACTGTGTATCATAGTGTCCAGAATGAACACACAGAGGAAAAAACCAACCATTAATTTTCTTTGATGTGAAAAGGTATATTGGCTTATACCAATCACGTTATTGTGACAATTTTTATATATTTTTTAAACTGCTTTAGTTCTTTGCTTTGTAGTTATGAAACCACACTAGAAATAGCCTTATATATGCAAGTTCCTACTGTTTGAAACTGAATTAATTAAGTAAACTTTCTGTGAGTGTCATCTATTTTGCAGACTGAGACTGGGCAGAAACAATTTATTTCTGTAGCTGAGAGTTTGTTTCTGTAGGAAAGATTGCAACACGGCAGGGAATCAGTCCTCCCTCTGTTGATGTGGACTCTGAATTAAAACAGAGTAGTACCAGCAGGTACAAACTGCTTGTGAAGGGACATGATGGGGCAAGAGCAGCAACTATACAGAAGGAAAACTGGCAACAGTGACTTTAACATGTATTCCTGATAACTGGGCACCTCCAGGTGATCAGCCTTGGCTTCTTGGCTTGGTTCAGCTCATCCATACCTCTCTTACTAGTTTTAATCCTTGACAGTGTGTAGATCCAGGACTTCTGGATCTTCTACTTTTCTTTTTTTGGTTTTTTTTTTTTTTCTGTTTTAGATTGTGTTTGACAGTAGTTACAGGATTGTGTTTGACTGATCGCAGACTAGGCCTGCACAAGAAATTTCCTGCCATAGCTGTACCGTTGAGAATGTGAAATGGGTTAGTACAACAGATGAAGACATTACCGTATCTCCTAAATACCAACAAAATAGTCTGTCAAAAAAGAAAACAGTTTTTCCCACTAGGTGACAGAGGCATCGATGCAGCCAAAATCTGTACCTCTGCAAAACTTTATCCCCTCCACTTGCTCAGCTGACAAGTGATGGTAAATGGGATTTGACTTGTAGAATCATAGAATGGTTTGAATTAGAACAAACCTTAAGGATCCTGTACTTTCAGTCCCCCTGGTAAGCCTTCCACTAGACCAGGTTAGACTTCAGATAAGGAGTGAGTTAACTCAGAACAGAATATCCTGAGTTAGAAGGGACCCCCAAGCATCATCGAGTCCAGCTTCTGGCCCTGCACAGCACCACCCCCAAGAGACACACTGAGTGTCCAAGAGCAGTGTCCAAATGCTTCTTGAGCTCTGGCAGGCTGGCGCTGTGACCGCTGCCCCGGGGAGCCTGTTCCAGTGCCCAGCCACCCTCTGGATGAAGAACCCCTTTCTAATACCAACCTAAACCTCCGTGACACAACTTCAGGCCATTCCCTCAGGTCCTTCCTTCACCATCTTCGTTGCTCACCATCTCCTTTGGACGCTCTCTAAAAACTTTATGTCCTGTACTGTGGCACCCAGAGCTGCCCCCAGCACTGGAGGTGAGGCTGCCCCTGCTCAGAGCAGAGCAGGACAATCCCCTCCCTTGCCTGGCTGGCCATGCTGTGCCTGATGCCCTCAGGACAGGGTTGGCCCTCCTGGCTGCCAGGGCACTGCTGGCTCATGTTCAACTCGCCATCAACCAGGACCTCCATGTCCCTTTCTGTGGCTCTGCTCTCCAGCCTCTCATCCCTCAAGGACGGCTGAAGCCGATTAGGCTGAACGTGCCTGGCACTGGATGCAGCAGAGACGAGGGTGGGGAGGCGTTTCCCGGGACGGAGAGCCCTGCAGGAAGGACGCGTCTTTTCCAGCCTTTCCCTCTCGCTGCTGGCGGAGCCGCGGCCCCACGAGGGGGCTCTGCCCGTCCGGGCACGGGCAGCGCCAGCCCTTCCAGCGAGCAGCTCCCAAATCCCGGGCTGGGGCTGCCGTGCAAGCACCTGCCACGTGTCAGGGTGTCTAAAGCAGTCTCGGTTTCAGGGTGTTAAACTGGTATAGTTGTAGGAATGAACAGGATAACCAGAATAGGAGCTCCCTCCAGGGGCACGACTGATAGCTACCACACGATCTAACCGTGCCTGGAGCATGTACAAATAAATGGTAACAAGGAAATTATTTGTATGCCTTGCTCCTACTCAATTTCCCCCAACTTGAGACACTCGTAGCTGCAATAGTTTAAGAAAATTTTTGTGACTCAATCAAGAGAAATCCCACCAGGAGAAAAATACCATCTTTCTCCACACAGTAAAGGGGAAGGGGCATTTAAACAGCACATACTGGCTAAGATAGGACAGCTCAGTTTGACCTCTTTGTGTCTTTTAATACAACCTTCATTAAAATTCTTAAAATAACTGTGTTATGGCAATCACAGAAGTATAAAGAAACTATATATTCCAGGTCAAGAGGAGATTCGTCCCCAAAATGCATGAGAAAAATCAAGTGCTGAGATCGTTTAAATGCCATTGTACATATTCCCTGCAACAACACCCCGGTCAGACAAGTAACAGCAGCTGTCCAAGGCACAGTGCTTGACTGCTCACTGCTGTTAGAGGATTATGAGCACAAAGAGAAATAGAGGTGCAAACAGCAAGAGCAACAGCAACATAGGGGGATGATGCACAGAAACTGCAGTGACAACTTCAGCTGTCAGCAGGGTTGCTCTCCTTCCCCTGGCTCTGGGCTCACATCACCACCATGATGTCTTCCAGCGGCTTCCGTGTCAGCGCAGGCACGGTGGCATCTTTCCTGGGATAGCCAACGGGGAGCAGCAGCAGGAGCTTCTCGTTCGCTGGCCGCTGGAGCAGCACCCGCAGTTGGGGGCCGCAGTTCAGCGGGGTGGAGGTCACTGTGTACAGACCCGCGTTCTGCAGCAAGACACACAGCAAAAGAGACAGAGGTCTGTGCTCTTTTTGTGGTAGTGGCTGTTCCCACCACACCTGTACATATCCTTCTGTCAGCTGGCCCAGAAATGCTGCTTTGTCAGACCTGCTGCAGCCTTTAGAGCACCTGATTTACTAACAGCCTCAGGGGCACCATGAAAGATGCTTGCTCTGCTTACAGAGAAGTGGAGCATTTCTCCACCACCACAGCAGCAGCAGCAGCACAGTCTGTGTGCCATGTCTGTGTGCTGTGGAGCCAGAGCCTGCCTGCTGTGCCAGTGTGATGGGGAACACATGGCCACAGGGAAGTTGAGAGGCAGTTGTGGGGATACGATTGGAAAGTCATCCCATGGTGCTGGTGATTGGACTAGATGGTCTTGAAACAGCCATTCCAAACCAAACTATTCGTGATTCTACGATCTGGCTCATACAGAGAACTATTTCGGTTCTTGCCTCCATCCAGCTGGCAGGAAGCTGCCTTACAGCCTTGTGAACACACAAGCTCCTCCTCAAGAGCTACACCTCGCAGGGAGAGGGGACACAGGCTCTGCCTCAGAAGCTGTCACAGGAGTCTGTTGGCGTCTCTCACACTGGCCATTGTTATGGATTACATCAGAATCCCAAAATAAGTCTATGTATCACTCTTCCTTCCATTCAAAACATCACAAAAACTCTAAAAAATCTGGGCAAACAATAAAGAGCTGACATCATCCAAGGTGTGATCACACAGCTGAGTCACTTCCTGAGAGCTGCACTTGTGGATTTCAGTCTCTGTGTACCCAATGCAAGCATTTTGGGAGGCTTTGAGACGCAAGTCAGCTAGGGAGAGGTGCCCAGGAAATGCACCTGTCATGTTTAGTAATCTCTACGATCTTCTCAAGAGGAGAAGAGCTAACAGTGATGGTGCTGAGTGGTGCCTGAGGAGCAGCAATGCATGAAAGAAAGTCTCATTCAAAACAGAATGGAGGATAAATGGCAGTGCCTGGTAGGAAGTTGGCCTAATATAAGAGGAGGCACCTTGCTGTTAGCTTGCTGACAGGCCAGGTTAACTATCAGAATAGCTTCTCTATTTAACACTTGTGTGAGTACATCAGGCACAAGAAGCAGAACTGAGCTCTGAGAAACTGCTGAGAAAATCTAACTGGCTGGTGTCAAACATGCTGAGCTTTAGAGATCAGTGCACTTTCAGAAATGCCTCAAAAAGACTGATTGAAATAGTACAGCGTGTTCTGTGGAATATGCCCCTGATTTTTTTTCAGCATTGTATACTAAAAGTGGTTTGGTGTCAAGCTGTTTTATAGGGATTACTGAAAAGAAGGGGCCAGTGTGGCACCACACAGTCGTGCTTGAGTAGTCTGAGGAGCCTGTCAGCCTTGTTAGCATAAGGCAGAAACCACAGGGGCTGAAGCCTGTGCCGAGAAAAGAGTGACCACTCTGGAAGCTACATTATATTTTTCTTCCTGTTAACCAGTACTGAGGGTAGGAATCACCTTCTCAGATGCAGACCTGTGTAGAATAACATTAAAACTCAAAACTAGGACATATTGCCAGGAATTGGAGTAATCCAGGAGATTAAAAATGTTAAAATCTAAACTGAGTTCCACCCTCATTTGGGCAGAACAGTCCTGGTAGGTAATCCAAATTAATATATGGACTCACAGTATGTTGGTTCTGTCAACGTACCTGCAGTGCAGCAAGCAGGATACCACAGGCAATGGAAACACTGATTTCATTGTAGTAGTGGGTCTTCTTTTTGCCATTTGGAAGCCGCCCATACACCTGCTTGAAAATGAGGATCAGATACGGAGCAGTGTCCAAGTACTCTTTGATCCAATTCGTTCTGCGAAAGAATGTTTAAGACATTTATTTTGCAACCTTTACACTTTCCTGTAAGTTACATTTACTGTCTGCAAAGTGGCACTAAAGGTACATGACAATTAAAGCAGCAGGCTAAACCTTAGAACATTTACTGCGAAGGATTAAGTATTATCAGCTAAAATAGAAACATTTCAGAAAGGGAAAAAAGCTGGAAGAGAGTTCTTAGTTTTAACAGATTTGGCTGAGGAGTTGATGTGCTCACTCTGAAGAGTGGAATCGCATACAAATAAGAGATAGCTCTTGACCTCTTATCTATGAACTGGCCTCATGAGCATTTGCCTTTGTGATTATTTAATTCCTGGAATTTTGCAGATTTGCCTGTTACCAGCAGTACCAACTTTTTTGTCATTGCAGGAAAGCCTGCTGTCAGAAAAGTTCAAAACATTTTTGTCTAAGGTCTAAACCTAAATATATTCCAATGGCAAAAATTGCTTTTCTGTTCCTGGGTATTTCATCCCTGATACAATTCATTTGGTTCCCAATTTCTTAAATGACAATTGTGATATAGGATTTAGACAAGAAAATAAGTGCTTTCTACTGTTGTCACTCAAAACATAAGAACCTCTGACAGTTGTTTGCATAGCACATAAATTTGCATAGCACATAAGCACCCGAAAAATAGCAATATAATCAAACAAGCAGGGCAAGTCAACCCTACAAAGCTTTGTGCCCGTGCTCCATTTGACAAGCAAGGCTCAGTAGACATCTTCCCATTGTGTGAAGTTAAGTCAGACTTGGGAGGGCATTTGGAACAATTAAAGATTGCATAATTTAGCACTTGGATAGGGACAGGCCTTGGGGCTTCCTCAGTTGGTGGCAAAGCTTCCAGTGACTTTGGGAGCTTGACTGTTTGGCAAACAACAGAAAAAATCTGGGACAAGAGTTTCAGCCACAGAGGTTACATAGGAAAAAATAATGATGGAGCCAAGCACTTGGAAAACTTTCAAAATAGAGAGCATGTAATCCCTTTTACTGGAAGCAATTTTATGAACCAGCCACCAAGGCACAATTCTACATATATTTAGAAATTTTTGTTTCCAAACATAGATTTTAGAAAAACATTAAAAGTGAGAGGGTGGAAGAAATAGAAAATTATAGAAGCCTTTCCTACATTGAAACAACAGCTATCTTCACACCCCTTAGGTAATTGACTTTTCATACCTCAATCTTTTCAGGTCATTTACCCATCTGTCTCCCATCCTTTTTTTGTAGTTGATTTCCTCTTCTTCTTCTACAATTTCACGAATCTTATGTTTTAAATATGGATCTTGCACTACCACAAAGGTCCAGGGCTCAGTGTGTGCTCCACTAGGTGAAGTACCTTCATACAAAACCAAGGAAAAGTAAAAACCCAGGAAGGAGGGTGAGCAGTGAGAGGTATCAGCTCTTTCTTGTGAGCTTTTAGGCTGACCAAGTGAGCAATAGTAAAGCAAGTGGATGAGATGGGAAGAAAAGGACTAAGTTCTGGCAGCCAATCCTGTTCATTTCTTTCTCAAAGAATGTGAAATCCCATTGAAGAACAGAGGTTAGTCCTTTCATACTGCCATCTTACAGGAAGCCAGTGTTAAGGATTTGTAAAAATTCCTTTTTTGGTGGTTCTTATGATGAGGCAGCAATATGGTGCAATATACATTAATGCAGTAATGTTATTACAAAGTGCTGTACCAAAAGCAGAGCTCTGTCCAAATACACAGCCAACTCTGACACGTGGTTTTAGCTAAAGGAAGAAAACAATGGCTTTCAGGAAAACAAGGCTGAGAGATCCCCGGCAGGAACCTGTTGCTGACTGACAAAGATAAGGAGCTGTGCAGCACACACATCTGCCATATTGTGTACATGTTTGAGTTTGTTGTCCCAAAGACAGCTGGTGTTCATAGGTGTGGACATATATATGATATATATATATTATGTACATATATTTAATATATATTATATATATTACATCTGTACTTGTTCACCCACCAACACCACTGGAGAAATATTTCAACTGCCTAGAGGTTAAAAGCCAGAAGCTGAAGAATATATATCTGCACAGGTTCACAGATATATAGATTAAGAAGACTATTTAGATCTCTCTGGTCCCTCATACACATTTTAAAACATTTGAAGAACTTGAATGCGTACAATACTAAGGACTGGTTTTAGTTCAAGAAACACTAAATAAGCAGCTTGAACTCTCTAGATATATGAAAATGGTTTTTATTGTGAACCTTGTCTCACCTCAGATTTGCGTAAAAACTGATGGCATTTATGCTTCCTTTTGTTTTCTTTTTCTCTACACAGCCCAAAGCTTTCAGGGTTACTAAGTACTTCATCTGCACGCCAGGCTTGTTTGCTTTGCTGCATTTGCCAAAACATGCTCAGTGTTTTAATGATGCCTAGTTAATTAGAGGGAGATGGAGAGTCTTTACAGTGCAGTAACAAAGCTGCTTACAGTTCTTAAAGGGAAAATAATGCACCTCAAATGTGGAGATTCTTTAGATTATTAACCCTGCTAAAGGCTACTGAACTTTTCTCTAAGGCAGCTTGGGAATATTCTCTATAGTAGCAGCAGCTGGCTCATAGAATAAGAGAAATCATGACAATCAAAACCACTCCTGGCTGAAGTTGATGTTAGTTAGGCAGAGATGAGATTTGGCCAGGACATGACAGTAATGATTTGAAATACATCAAATCTCAACAACAACAACAACAACAAAGGGAATCCATTTCTGATATTCAGTCAAATAACCTCTATTACGGTCCTCAGCATAACACTCCAATCGTATGCAACAGGGGTCTGGCACTAATGTTGGAAGGACTGGAAAAGGTTTATTAGACTGAAATTCTTTCCTGTATTAAGCACCAACCATTTATGCCAACATATATTCAATATGTATGGAATATTTTGCATGGATAAGACAATTTCATCTATTTGTTTGTGGAGGGACCCCAAAATGCAAAACCCACACATGATAAATAGCATTATAATGCATTAAATTTTAGAGCATGTGAAGTACATGTGGCTTGACATTTTTGAGAAAACACTTCAATATTTCTATTTGAAAGACATCTCAGTAAACCACACATAAATTTAATTTTAAATAACATCTTTTATAAGTTGAAAATTAAGTTTTTTGTTTCTTGCTGTTGAAATGCTCTTCTTCCCTTATGGGTGAACTGCAAATACAGAGAAATTGGGAGACTCCAAAGGAGTCTCTGACATGCAGTTGTTCAAGCTGAGTAATTTCCAATCAATCAATGGGTGCTAATTCATTCCAGCTACAGGTGAATCTAGGAAAACCACAAGCAAAATTCCAGTTCCCTTGGCTTTTCCACACCACTTTTTACACCACAGTTACAGAGTTGAACAGCGGTGCTAGACCTTTAATTTTCCCCCAGCCCTTGAACCACTCAGTACCTACCTGCTGTTCTGATGACATTATCAATGACCTCCCTGGGGACTGGCTCATCACTGAGAAACCTGACAGACCGTCTCTTGTTTAGAAGCTCATAGAATGTCTGTGACCTCTCGATCATTTCAGCCTCAGAGTAGCGCTCGCCAGTGAAGAGGACATGAGCAACATTTTCTTCAAGTCCTTGCCACTCTTCCTCACCCTCTGCAAGGAAACACAAGTGGTTAGGGATTTTTTTTTTTTGCTGGAGAATGCTGTTGATATCCTTGGCATTCACACTGTAAGGCACCTTGTCCTGCCCTGGCATACGCTGCACTTCTACACCACTGGTAAGGCAAAGTCTGAGGTTCCAGTTGACACAACTCACGGATCCCCAGCTCCAGCTATTGAATAAACACCTTGTTTGAATACCAAGAGGCAAGAGGGTCCTGACCTGCTCTAGCAAGCGTGATCCACAATGAAGTCATTGCCTTCTCCGCTTCAGCCTGAAAGCCTGCCTGCAAAAATGGGTTGCAAGCTGAAACAGCTCTGAAAAAGTGGACAGGCTTCCAGCCCAATTTTCTCAGCAAGTAAATGTGAACATGTGTGTTCCTTCTTGAGCTGTTTAATAAGGAAAAAAATCAATTAAATTATTGAAGTTAAGGAGAGAGCTTAACTACCAATATGTGTAAAATCCCCTCTGAAGAGCTGAATGTCAACTTCTTCCATAGTCATGTTTCATAGCAGAAACATTGCAAGCATTGGCTCTGCAGAAATGTGACTTTGTGGTTAAGCTCTTTGGTTTCCTGATACTTTCAGCATAAGAGGAAATGGATGTCAGGCATCTATATTTAGGATAACAACATATCAAATGTAGGATATTGTGTTTCTTGGCTTTAATTTAAAAACTCAAAATGATTCTCCATTTCAATGAAATCTCTCTGTTTATATCGCAAAATGAATATTCTGTTGTCTCTGAGGCCTCTTTCTCCCCCATATTCCTAGAATCAGCATGGATAGCATTTTTTGCAGCTATGATCTGGAAGTTAAAGCTATTTAAATGCTACATTTTGACTAGTCAATAGTATTGAGCAATCTGCTACAGAGAGCTGAGTCAGGAAAAAATATTCCAGTTCTTTTTCTGCTGCTATTAGGCTTTTATTCCCAAATCATAGCAATCTCCAGCACAAATTCAAACAGCAATTACTTCTGTGTTTTAGTAGTATGCAGTTGCCTTAGAGACCAGGCTGGTTTTTTGTTCATTTTAAAAGCAGTGAAATATTCACGTGTGGCTCAGCCTGCACAAAGGGGCAAAATAAATCCAGTTTCATAAATTGAATCTAAACTGAATGGTTCTGGTCCCCAAACCACCATCATTTCATTTTGTGTACAAAGAATTCACCCTGAGAATTTGTTTTATTTAACATTTCATGCCTGTGTTATGCGCTCTTGGTCTGCAAGGACCTGACTCCAGGTTAGCGGAAAGCAGTGAGCCCTGGTAAAAATTATTTCAGTGATCATCTTGTGCACGCTCAAAAAGTAAAAGGGTGCTTCTTGGTAATGTTCCCTGTGTGATTTACACTTGGTAAAATAGTGAGTGCTTGCTTGTTTAGTGCTGTGGCGGGGTTTTCCTGTGTAAGTAGAAGAGAAATGAAGCTGCTGTTTGGTCAAGAAATCTCAACTTAATAATAAGGTGAAAAAAGAAATGTACTTTCAGAGATTTTGAACATGGGACAAAGGTGACAGGACCAATGAGAATGGAAAACCTCAATACACTCAATGTGGGAATACTGGCTGAAGCAGAAAAACCTGGAAGTGCAGGAACTGACACACAAAACCAAAACTCTCCTGGCAAATTTATTTTCTTAAAATAAATTAATCTATTATATATTCTTTTCCATCATGTGTCTGTCATTCTTTCCTAGCAGATAACATGATCCATATGCTAACTTTAAATCATTATGAGCACCATCTGTTTGGTGCATGCACTCTATATCTCTAATTGCTGTGTTTAGACATTCTCCTGTTTGTACAGTCACGTTACACAATACCATAAGTGTCTTGTTTATATCTCTTTGTATTCCACCACTTGATGGACAACAGACATCCTGCTAGCAAGTCTTTTACCTTGTTAGCATTCTCAAGATTGTCATCAATTCCATCAATTCCCATTTACAGTAGTCATCAAGCTTCCTGCTTTTTAAGTAAATCTGGAATGGTTTTGGCTCACACATCCCAAATGGAATCTCATTTTAAAAGTACATTTTTCTGTCTCTATCAGAAATTCCTCTCTGGATACATTTTTGGATGACAACTATGTTCTTCCCAGCAGTCCATATGGGAGGTTATTATCAGCCTGCAAATCAAGTAATAAATTTTACCTCAGTTTGAAGCATGAGTTCTTAATTAAAAACTCATACTGAGAACAGTAAGTTGTCATTTCACTTCTGTTGGCCATTTATTTTACCTACACTGACTCTTCTCTGTGTTGCTGGCTTCCAGTTGTATGTCATTAAGATATTTCACTTTTACTCTCCTTGGTTTTATGCAAAGACCACTACATAATATTAACAATTGATCCTGAGACTGATCCTTGAGAAACCCCAGTCAAGACTACTGCATTTGCTTTCCAAACAAGTTTCTTCTCTAGAGAATTGCTTCCTGAGCATACAATTCCTCTCTATACAATTCCTGTGTAAATACATGATGCATAGGAAAAAAATTCAATGTATGTAAAGAAAGTTTTCACATCTTTAGTCTTAAATGCTGGGTAACTGACCCTGTGGGTTCTTTACCTGATTAATGGCAGACTGCTGCAAAATGGGCCACTACAGGAATCCCAGTAGTGAATCCAGCCCTGAACTGAGTGTGACTAATAGGGAACTAAAAGAGATGGATTACCCTACCAGTGGGTTATAAATAGTGCTTAGCAGGCTGATCCTGGAAACCTCATGAGTGGGTCAGGGATCTTAAGCAAAAGTACCACCAAGTTGGAGAGGCACAGACCCTGGAAAAAATAACCCAGCATCAAAATATTGTGAAAATTACCTCAACTAGAATATAGTTGCTGAAGGTTTCTTACAATCTTAGGGTAAATAGAGTGGCTATTATATAAAGAGAAAACCTAGTATAAGAAAAGCTGAGAGGTAATCTGGTTGCAATCCATAAACCACAGGAGAGTATGTGTCAGGGCTAGAAGAGAATCCTTTGAAATCAAGAGGATGGAACAGATTAAATAGATATACAGTAGTATTAGTAGTAGGCAGAAAGGTAGAGGAGGGTTTTTAACCCTATCCTAAGAAATTCTGGACCAACCTTTCATCAAGGTTAAAGAAAAGGGGTGACAAAAGTCCAGTTTTCATGTTCATTCAGCTGATGACAAAGGCTGGATGTATTTGCAGCAGCAGGAAGATACACACTGTAATGCATTGTGCCCATCGAGTCCTGTGTTCCCAAATGATGCAAAACATGAACAATCATTGAAAAGGAGGTTTAAATTGCTACTGCCTCATCCATGTCAGTAGTAGTGTTATTAAGATATGGGAAGTTTTTGAAACTGGGGAGAGGAGAATGCTTTTAAGTGGGACAGGTCTATTTCAAGGAGTATCACAAGCAACAAGCAGAGAATTTTCAGGAGGAATGGAACATTTGGGACTTTGTGTTGTTTTGTAGTCCTTAAGTAGAGTACATCATCAGTGTCCTTGCCAATCCACAGCATAACAATCTCTCATTCTGGATCTTAATATAAATGAAGGAAAAAGTTAATAATATAAATGAAGAAAAAGGTTATGGGATAGATGGGTGTGCAAAGAAATCTGAAGTAATGCCAGTTAAAGCATTAAACAAATGGACTGAGTGCTTTGCACTTAACAAAAGAACTGGGTTTCTGGCTGCCATGAGAAACTGTGGAAAACACAACACAGACAAGCTCAGGAGCACTTAGCCCTCTCCATTCCACCCTTCACTGCCAATAAGTGACCCTACTGAGTCTGCCCAAGCAGTTCAGCTCCTTGCCCCGAATGCTCTGCTGCTCAAAGGCATGTCCTTCTCATGGGAAACATCCCTGAGGGCTCCACTGCAGGGAAGGCTCGTGGGGCCACAAGTGAGGTCAATGCTTTTCTGTTTTTGTAGCTGAGTGCTTCACTCTCTCAGCAAATAGACCTTGCTTTAGTCAGGGACATGAACCAAAAGACTTGGTCTTCAGCTGCACCTTCCTGTTCAGGGGGCTGCTGAAAATTCAGCTTGTTCACATGGGGCAACCTTAGATTCTAGCTTTAGAGCAGGCCTTAAGAATGTCACCTTCATGTTACCTAACTCAAATTCTCTTCAGAGGAACTGAAGAGAATCTTTAAACACAAGCCAGCCAGAGACGTTTAAGTAGAATTGAGCTTGTCTGATAAAGTAAGATACATTAATAAAACAACAGAATTTACACATCAGGTATTCTTCAGTATTTAAAAAAAAAATCTCTTTTTACAGCCATGTTTCCATTTCAGCACGTAGTGCAGTCAGTGAAAATTTTAACACTGACAACAAGGTCAACATGTTTTGATGCTTAATTAAGGCTCTAGCAAAGTAGCAGATCCTTGCTAACTCTTTTTCTTCTCCTTGCTACTCTTCTCATTTAGGCTGGGCTGAAGAAAAATTTACCTTTTAATATTTCTAGAGATAAAAGACACAACTATTTTACAAAGAAATTGCTTTGAATCACACACCACTAAGGGAAAGGTCATTATTTGTTACTAAAAGAGCAAGAAAATTTAATATTGGGTGACATAGTATATTGAGAAAGGTTTTATTTAAAAGTAAATAAAACTTAGCAAGTAAATAAAACTTAGCAACAGTACCAACATGTTTACCCGTCAAAAATTTTTTGCAAGCAAATTTTTTTTGCAACAAAAACTAATACAGTTTTGAATTTAGTAACTGAATAACCAACAACTAACACATAAAAGACCAAAACAACTAACACATAAAAGATCAAAATTTTATATATGGAGCTGCAGCAGTGAGGCTCCTTGATAAGAGCTAATAGGCTTGTTTATGCAAAGGATCTAAATTTTTTAACTGATAGAAACAGCTATAGTCCAAGATGATAATTCATAGATTATCATTTCAACTACCCACAGGAATTCTAATTTGCAGCAATTTAACTGAAATAGTAAGTCATTAATGACAAAGAAATTATGGAATAATTTTACACAGAATCTATTTTGCATTGAACAAAGGAGGATACAATAGGTGAACTGATTTGTAAAGAAATGTTATATATTTGGAATATAGTCAACAGGGTTTAAACCTAAGTATCAACTCTTTTCAGAAACTGATAAACAACACTAGCTCAAAGTACACTGAACACTGAGAAAAGAGCTAAATCAGTTCTTAGAAATAGGTCTATATGCAGAAGGACACTGTAAGTTCTAAGATTCCTAGAAGCAGACTGGGGGAAGTGCTATTATGGGGGAAAAAACTAACCCAGACAGACCCCTCAACAAGTCTTTGAAGCCAGCTTGAGGGAGAAAACAGAAAAAAAAAAGAGCTGCATTAACTACAACTTTCAAAAATTGATAGGACCAGAACTCTGTAGATTTTTATTTTACAAAGAAATAAAGTGAGTTTATGGAGGATAGTTAGGAGGTAAGAAGAAGGAAGGGTACATTTTTAGCGTAGACTTTTGTCCAAGCTGTGAATCAGAAAAAGCTAATGAAAATAAAGGACATTCTGTATGGGTTCAAATAGGCAGCTGAGTGACCAGATTATCACCACCACCACATTTTGTTCTTAAATATTTGATCAACACAGCTCCCAAAAAAGCTGTCATTGACATTCTCAGAAGCCACAGAGGGAGGACCTTTGTAAAAGCAATAATAAACCCATTTCCAAATTTTTAGCTGTGCTGAGACCAAACATATACCACTGAGTGATAAAGTGGGATTACTTGCAGGTAGAAACATCTGCTCAGGCCTTCCCTTTGCTCACACTAATAAGACCTGGGAAGAGACTGTGGGGAATTCAGCAGGATCTCCTGTCTTTCCTTACACTGTCCCTAGAGTCCCTCATAGGTCTGAGATGTGCTGTACAGAGGAACAGACGGGAGTCTCTAAGAATATATTTTATATATATTTTTTGCACTCTGATTTTTGGGAATAGAAGTTTACACCAAGAGTGACATGACATGAGGTCTGCCTCCCTGGCTGGGAGCTGACAAGCTCAGGGCACAGCAGCAGTGCTGCACTAAGCATTGCTGCCACTGTGGAGAAGTCCCGAAGTCCACACCTCCTTTATTCATATCAGCAGATAGGATTCAAACAGTAAAAGTGTTTGGGATAAGATTTTTCTTACCTTCTTCTTCTAAGGGATGGTCAGTGCCATCTTTTAAATCTTCATCCACCCACAGGCGAGATGGATGCTTGCTTTTAGTGTCACGTTTTTCCTTCTCTCCACTTTTCTTCATTATTACCCCAATCAAAACACATATAATGGCTATAAATACTGGTGTGAGGGAAGAAAAGAGTGCCATGACTATGGAAATGCAGAGCCTTTCTTCCAAGTTCAGTAGTTTCTCATGAAAAGGAGAGGCTGAAGAGGGAAGAGCAGCAAAGCAGTAAGCAAAAAGGGGTGGACTCAAGGTTCAGTCCTCTACCCTATCTTGCTTCTACTTTTCAGACACCGCCCCCACAATCTCATCTGTGATGGGCTCCTGCTGTTAATAAATAGCTTCTGCAGTTCAAAAAACCTCCAGACCCAGGTTTATATATTTTCTGAGAGGAAACATCTTACAAACAGCAAGCAGAGGCACTGACCATACACATAAATGCAGTCCAGTGCAAAATAAATTTAAAAACCTTAAGATGTTTTCAGGCTCCAGACTAAGGCAAAAGACTTCTCCCTTCTTATTTTTTATTGTCATGGTCATCCCAGTAATCTTCCTTGCATAAGTGATTATGAGAAGAGCCAAGTGGGAATATGACTTTTAAAAACTAATGATCCCTCTTCAATGTTTAACTCATAAAATTAACATTTTACATGTATCCTAGGAATCCAGAATATCACCAATCACAAATCAGTTTGCAGCACCACCCTCAGCTATGTCAATGGGTCAATAAAACAGATAACTAAAAGGGCAGCATTGCCTCTCTATAAAGTGTGAGTGAAACCATTCACAGAGCCCTGTATTTATTCTGGCTGTTCTGGGGTAACTGACAGGAAGAATTCAAGGAATCAAAGTAAAAAAATATGTGAGCGTTGCAGTGAATTTAAAAGGCATGCTTTAGCATCCTATCAAATATTAAAAACCGATAGGATCCTGGTATAATCCAATAATGGTCAATGTCTAAATGCTTAACCCATTTTTACCTCAGCCTGCTGCTTGGGATCTGCATCAACACAGCAACACTGATTTGCTGTCTTTGTCTGGGGCTGTTGGGACATACTGGATAATGAAATGTCAGATGTAGTGGGTGCTGAGGGCTGTGCAGGGTGCAGGAGTGCTCTCTGCATGCAGTCACCCATGTCCATCAGCTCTCCTTAGCACCTGCCATGCACCATCCTTGCCAAGCCTCATCTCATACCACACAGGGCCATTTCTGATCTCCTGGCATCCACGGCAAAATAATTCACATTTTGATTAAGCCCTCCCAAGACAAGTGGGAGCAGCTGTGAGTGTAGCCATACCAGGAGATGGTGAGTCCCAGCTGCCACCTGCAGGGGTCATTGCAGCCCCCTTTCCTCAACATGGAAACCAGGATGCAAAGGGGAGAGAGAATTTGGGGCATGCGCAGGTTCCATCCTGACAGGTTCTCAGTCCATGCCCAACCACTCGCCTCTCACCCCACCAGTTCTGCCACACTGGGCACACCCTCACTGCTCCCATTTGGCACTGTCACTCCAAGGGCTCCCTACCTTCCAGTGCCCCAGCAGATACTGCCAGCTGCCTTGAGCACTGGTCTGTGTGTTGGGAAGCACAGATTAGTGGCCAGGTTGCTGCACAAGAAGAGGAATGTGTGACCACACTGGCTGGCTACACACAATGATATTCTGTCTGGCTGACAGTGCAGACCTGTATCCTCTGTTAACACACGATCCTTGTGTTAAAAGGGCAAGGTCAAGTGAATTCCACAGCTGTGCACATATTGTCCAAACGTGCTTAGAGGCAAAATGAAACTGCCTCAAGGCTTCTACCCAGGCTGGGCTTTCTCAGCTGCCCAGCTCAGATACAGAATAAATACTTTACTGCAGTTCCACTGCATCCTACTCCAACACACAAGCCCCCAGTTCTTGCAGGTACCAGTCCTTATGGGCAGTATTTCGGATCTGTGTAAGAAGGGTGGCCCCAGTACCAGCCAAGGGATTGCACAAATCCATCAGAGATGTAATAAAGAGGACATGAGAAAGTTGTGTTTAGTTTCCTAATTTAATCTAATACAGTAAAGTCGGCAATAAACTTCCATTTACCTCTGCTAAGAGGACTATTTTCTTGAAAATTCAAGCCATGAATTTTGTCTTTCCTACTCTCCATTCAATTTGTGACCCGGGACACGTGCTTGGGTCACTGATTTGGGCTGCATGTATAAAAAGCCCCCAAACCAGTACACTTTATAGGAATAGAAACAATTATCATGTGGGGGAAAAAGAAAATATGTAAATTCAACCTTTCTCTCCATGATTGAGAGTAGATATTTAAACTCATTTGTCCCACCTGCTGGTTGTCCAGTCATGGGGAGAGGTACTTTACCTAATCCCAATTAGAAACATTAAATTAATTCATGAGAATAGAGAAGGAACCTGCAATTTCATCAGACACATTTTCAACAGCCTACTCTGTGGCAAGGGAGGAAAACAGAATGTGGTCTGAATGGCACTGACTGTTTCTCCCACAGGGAATGTATTAACCTTGATTATTCACACACACGTAAATTAGGATCTGGATGCTCTGCAGCTGAGAATTCATCCTATGAAGAGACAGGTCTGTGCTGAAAGAGAGAGGAGCAATACAGAAGGGTGAATTATGTTGTTTAAAATAACTACCTCTATTTGCAATGCTGGAAACTTTGTAATGGCTCACTGCTCCAGAATAACTTTGACTTCCTTTCAGGTGATAATAATTTTTCTTTTGTGGAACAGAGAAAGAAAGGAAGTTAAATAAAAGTCACTTTGGTAGTAACTTAAGCAAAATCTATGTGGTGTTACATACTGAAAAATGTTGGGTTGCATTTCAACCCCAGCCTACCTTGTTTTAATTAAAACCTAAAATAGTTTAAATAACTTTATATTGTGAGCACTTAAAACAGAAACATGGGTGTCTTGAGGAACTGGGGGAAGGGGTGGGTGGAAGCAGTTAATTTTGTACAGTAGCTTTCAATCAGTTTTTCTGTTAAACTTTTTCAATCCAAGATTTATAGAAATGTGATTAATGTTATGGCAAATTCAAGAAAAGTTATTACAATAATTTCTTCTGCTCTACAGTAAATCCTAAAAACTAGCAGCTGAATCTTTGGGGGTTTTTTGAGTCTCAAAAAAGTCAGGAGAAATGTTACAAATAATCCTACTCCGAGAAATTAATGGAGCTTTTCTGACAAACATGGAAAGAAAGAAAATGTTGATAGAAATGCAACAATTGCGAACAGCAAAGTACTCCACTATTACTGCATGAAAAACATGTAAGCACTCCTAAAAGGTACAGACCATCATACTAAAAGCTTCTGGTCCCAAAATACTTTAATATTTCGCATTAAATTCTGTGGATAGCTGTTGTTCTGAAGGAAAAAGAAAAAAGTACTCTAGTGTCAAATACAGCCCTCTATTTTTTTTCCTCAAAGAAAAAAATTGTGATGAGCAAATGCCAGTATGGGTGGACCCATGGTGGGACAGTCACACAAGGATCACCCATGGGCACGAGACTGTCACATGGTGGGCATGGGCACCATTGTAGGCTGCAAGGACACCTGAAGCCAACAAATGGCACCTGCTCATCACACATTTTTACTTTGAGAAGTCTCTTTACTGGAGAACTCTTAGGGCTCCTTATTTAGAGCTACAGAAAATTAGTAAGATCCAGACATTAGGAAAGGGATCCAACACATCTATTCAGAATTGTTTAACAGTCAAAGATAAAGTATGGTAGTTAAAACACCTAATTTAGGAAGTTTCTGAGGCTTAGGAAGGCATATGGAAGGAGGGACTATTTCATGAGTCCTTAGCCTTCTTGTTTTTCCTAATCATCTACCTTTGGCAATATACACACAGGCTGTGTGCATGGTACCTGATATCCTCACATGGCTAGGATTTGGTATGAGTCGTGGTGTAGGAATGGAATTACATAATTTGGCGCTCCCACTAAAATGAAAGCCACGACCAACTCCCCTCCTAGCCCTGCCTCCAGTGAGACAGACAAGGGCAGCTATCCTTAGTGGAGATACAAAAAATTTACTGGAAACAGCAATGAGATAGAAAACCATGTTTCCTCCTTGCCTGTTGGTGGGAACACAATTGGTATTTTGCTGGTTTTTGACCATGTCCATGAGAACGTGGCAACATTCATCTTGGATTCATCATTTTACTCCTCTGCCATGTTGCTCCATAAAAAAAAAAATTCCTCTGCCATTTTGCTCCATACAATGATGTCATCAAAGAACTGCAGTTGTTCTGGAGCCTCACAGTTTTCCATTGCAGTCTGGATCAGTCCATGAGAGTCAATTCCAGGTGTACTGCACGCCCCTCCAGGTCAAAGCAAACTTCAGTCTGCATTCTGCTGCCAGAGGAGAGGAGAAAAACACATTGGCAATGTCAACAAGCCACATCATCCTCCTTGGAAGTGAGAATCCCTTATTTCTGCCTCCCCCTGATGAAGTGCACCGTACAGAGTAACAACCTAGGCACACCCACACAGCTCTAGGCTCTGCCACCTCGTGGCTACAGCTAAAAATCAACCTGTCTTTGGCTGAAACTAGGACAGAATCTTACTGTAGCAAAAAGCAGATATGAAGAAGAGAACAGTAGTAGAAATAGAAGAATGCTCACAGTGAACATACAGGAGTGCAGAGTAAGATGAAGGAGGTACTTGCAATAAATACAGCATGAGTCTGTGAGAGCAAACATGGCTTTGGGTGCTGGCTATAATTCCCATTGCAAGTGTCCTCAGCTGAACATCATCAGTCACATACCTGCAAGGAACACAAAGCCCCTGCTTGGACCCTCAAGTCATATACCAGTATGTAGTGATGAAAGGGTCTGCAAAATAAGCTGTGCTTATAGCTAGAAGCAAGACAAATTCACCACTGGGTACTATCTAGAGATGCAATAAAATACGGCATTTGCTTCAAAAGTGAGTTTCACGCTGAAGCTTGTGTTTTCCAAAACACAAATTCCAAAGGCCATTTCAATCCTTGGTCAGCTCCCAAGTCAGTATATGCCTGCTGTGGGCAAGGCAGAGCCATGCATGAGCTACTTAATCCAATTTCCCAATCAACACATTGAGACAAATGTCTGGGATCAGCTGAAACTTATCTATTAGGTATTGGCATTACTAAAAATATCATTAGCTTAATAAGCATCTCCATCTCTGAGACATACCTAGCAATCCCCTCCTGCCTCTGCCAGTGACCAGCACACAGTGCTTGTGGGCAAGGTGACCCTCACTTTTCTGCTGCCTCCTGCCTCTTCTTGCACTCACACATACAACTGCCCCTTGCCCCGAGACAGCTGTATGATCTCTTTATGACCCCTGGAGATATCACATATCTTGCCCTGGAGCATTAGATTTGATTATCTTTTTCATTAACTTAGCTCAGATTGCCACAAATGTTATTAGTGCTTATGAACTACCCTTTTGAAATCTAGCAGTACAGTGGGTAATAGAATTACATCCCATAGCAACAAAAGCACAAGACAACAGAGCACCATGCAACAGAGCAATTCTTTCCATTTGTCCTCAGTATAGCGCTCTTCACTTGCAAACTCCCTGTGTTTATGTACCACAGGCAGAAGAAGTAACCTAACTAGAGACATGATTCACTAGAATCTTTCTAAATAGAATAATCCATTTATTGGGATCTGTCTTATCAGATACACCATTAGTTGTTCTCAACAAACAAGTTGAGAAGGACAAACAAGTGCTCCTAAAAATATTTCTGATTTCAGAAAGTAAATTTAACCCAGAGAATAATTTGCCCCCAGATTCATAGCAGAACAAGAAATTTGCTGTTGCTGTACCAATGTTACCACCATGAAGCTGTAGGAATGAGTTTCCACATGGCAGGAATCTGGTGGACATTAGTAGTGCTACTCACTGAAGTAAAGCTGCATGGCTGAGTTTTCAGAAACTCACTAAAACTCTAAACAAAAAATCCCAATAACATGACTGAACTTATATGGAAACCACCAAGGGTCTGCAGATAACTCAGACCTTGGAAGATATATGCCCCAAATTGGGGGCAAAATAAAGACAAAATATTGTTTTTCCACAATCGCTTTTAGGCACAGACTCATAATAGGCTGTGTTCAAATCTGTTTTATTCTGTGAGTTACCTTTGATACCAGCTGAGGGGGGAAAGTAAAGTCAATTTCTGAGCAGCCCTGTGTGAGCACAAAGCCTAACAGAGGCTGTTAAAACCTCTTCAGAGAGGGGTGTTTAAGGAACAGGAAGGAGGGGTAGCAATGGTCTCCTCCCAATGGCCAGTAGGCTGAGAATAGCCTCTTTCAGAACAAGTATCACAGGAAACATTGGATCAAATATCACAGGAAACATTCTCTGCATATTGGGCCAAAGAGGGGAAGGCAGGGGCAGAATGCAGAGACAGAAATCCAAAAGGCAGATTGTGTTTGACCACACTGCCCAGGGTGTGGGGCTGAAGCACATGTATAGGTAGACCAAAACCAGCTCCATCATCAGAGCCAACACAGTTACCACCATGCCAAAGGCTCACCCAACACCTGGGCAAAGACTCTGACAGCTCCTCGTGCTGGCACCCTGCAGCTCCCCAGCCTTCATCCTCAGGGTCACAGAGCCCACACCTGCCCTGCCTGGGCTTCTGGCTGCAGCACAGGCATCATCCCAGATCTCTCTTCCTCGTCAGGAGAATGAGTGTTTATAGCAAACTCATAGCCGTGCCCCACACGATCAGGCTTTTCAGATCATGATGTCGAGTGAGGTAACAGCAGTAGCGAAATGATAACTGGATGTCTTTTGTAAGAAACATTGCTATTGTCTTTTTGATGCTAAGAAGAAATACAGGGAGGAAAAAAAATAATAAAAATATAAAGTAAAAGGTAAAAGAGGACAAAAATTATCTCTCCTATTTTTTTAGAGCTGGATTTTTATTTCCAATTGCTAATATATCCTTCTTTTTGTATGTTCACAGAGAGGAAAACTGTCTTTTGTTCCATACTGCTATGACAGGACAGCTGAATGGCAGCATGGAGCATTTTAAATCAGCATTTCAAAGCTTCAGCTGTTCCAGGAATAGCTATTCCTATTACTTCACTTCTTATTTGCACCAAATCAAAACACGGCTTAGCTTATTTGAAGAGTTCCTTAGCTGATTACATCTAAGCCTCTAAAACTTTATCTAGGAAAACAGTTTCTAGCTATGAACATGAAGGAAGCCTTGAATTCCTATGTAATCATAAATAGCAATGTTCAAAGGGCTCAGGTTTTTTGTGGGTTGCTTGTTTTGAATTTTTTTCTTCTTCTTTACATTCTTTGAATGAGTTTCATCTCCTAGCCCCCTGAAGAAATCTATCACGAGTCTGAAGGCCTGTCCTTACTGCCAAGGGCATCCACAGCTTCCTTTCATTATTAAGGTGGGTGTGCCCATCACTGGCTCTACCCTCTCCTGCTGTTTTCCTCCACAGGAATCACACCTTGCTGTCCGCAGGCTTGGCTTGGATGGCGGAGCTGCCACAGGGGCTCCTCACCCAGCCCAACAGAGAGCTTCTCCCTAAGGGCACTTTGCACCTCTCTGGAATTACCTCCAAGTGAAACCCTTCCTCCCTTCCCACAGTGGAATCAGTGGCCAAGGATCAGCTGGGACTCTGGTTCACTGCAGCAAGGATGATGCTGTTCAGTGTTTCCCTCTCCCTTGCTCCAGCACTTGTTGCTTATGCAGGGAAGCTGGGAAGTAAATGCCTGTGCAATGCACAAAGCCCAGAACAGCACACGTGCTGACCCAGCTCTCAGGTAAACCACAGAGACATCAGACACCATGGGAGACATTTTTAGAGAGTCTGATAATGTCAAATATTTTGGTACTCAGAGAGGGTGGGATAGCTGTGTAGTCAGGTCAGCATGTGCCACAGAAGTCTTGAGGCTGGAAAGTCAGCCAAGAAACCCAGAATTGCCAATCTTGTTATTTTCTTGAATGATCTGCTCAAAGAGAAATCCCAAGCACACAGAGAATTTAAACAATATTTCCTGACAAAAATATTTCCGCCCTTTTCCCCAAGGCCAGAAAGCAAAACATTTTTCCCACACAAATCACTGACCTAAGAGTTCAGGAGATGCAGATCTCTTGCCTAACTCTGCTGTTACTTTTACCCTATGTGTAAATATTTGTTTATTAACCTGTCACATCAGATAATCAGCAAATTACTTCTCTGGGGTTGCAATCCACCACCTGACAGGTTGCCAAGGGGTGATTAATATCCACCATCTTCCCTCCTATAGAAAGGAGCTGCAGCTTTCCCTGGCTGGTCCAGAAAAAAACCCAAAAAAACAAAAAAACACAGCCTTTCTCACAAGGACAGTTCAAACTCCCAGCACTGTTCAAACAATTCACTTTAGTCAGCCAACACTTCTTTACAGACAATTGCTCCCTGAAATTGAAACTGGATATTATTGGACTGTTTGAAAAATACAGCTGTGTGGGACAATAAAACTTCTTGAAGTTTGCTATTCTACCAGCCAGTGAACTTGGCATGTGGTTCCTCCCAGTGGGGTCAGATTATGCATACTGAGCTTAGAAATGGGCTGATCTAAAATTTTCCTCTGTATCTTTGGAACCTAAGTTCATTGAAAAGATCAGACTAACTACACGGGCAAAATCCACTGTGAAACTCTTCACATCACAGATATATTATGACTGTAGTTGTTGGTATGAAGAAGAAGAAACTCCGACTCCACAGAGGTTACTTTACTTAAAAACTTATGAATGGGTATTTCTAGCAAAATACAACATGCACCATAAATGAGTGAACTCAGAGATCCAGGCATTCTGCCAGCATCCTCACCCTCACTTTGCCTTGTCACCAGCACAGTGACAGAACAGACTTCTGCCCTGCCTGATGGTCCCAGATTATCTTGCAGCAGCAGCACAGTCCCTGCTCACTGCACATGGAGCTCACTTGGGACAGCTCTGCATGCATGGCTGATGGTCTTTTAAAGGTTGCCAAGGTGCTGCCCCTATACCAAGGGTCTTCCCACCCTTGATCAATCATATCTTACCTTGCAATCAGTGCCCTGCAGTCCATTACAGTTAATCAATGCTGGAGCCTCTTTGGTGTCCAAAGAGATAAACAAGCTCGTTTTTCAGTATTGACTGCAACTGTTTGCTTTTCAGTGTGATTTCACTCCAAAATAAAAAATAATTAGGCCCTATATACTGCTTTCTCTGTGCCACAGATTTGTCCTGCCCCTGCTAACTGTGAGGTAGTCTGTCATCCTGTGCCTTGCCAGCAGGTACACACACACACCCAGGATCCTACTTTAGAGCTTTGTCAGTGCCTTTTTGCAGCATGAGAACCCAATTACTCATTTTAGTCAGGTTTGTCTCAGTAAATGAAAAAGCAGCAAAGCTTTATCTACGAAACCAGGCGGGGCCCCTGTCCAAGCCCTGGTGTTAATTGAGGTGCCCTCTGAGAAGCCTTACCTCCCACCCAGAATCAGCTGCCTTTGAGGCTGTGCTGATAGCAAAAATAGACGTGGTATGTGACCAGCACTTGGTTATTTCCCTTTCCTCAGCCAGTGCCTTATTATACAAGGGCTCTGAGGGCTGTGGCTGTACAAGTAACAATCTGTGAAAGCATATTTCCCCAGCGGTTCCTTCCGAGCAGCATGAAAGTGTCAGATGAGGACAGAAGCTGGCATTATGCTACTGGCATGACTGAATCACAACAGGAGCTCTGTTGTTAACCATTTAACTGTCTAAATACATTGCCCAGCACTGTCCTGTCTGGTTTCTGCCCAGCATTATTCCTATTAGAAAAGGTTCAGGGAGCTAATTGTTCAGCAAAACTGTGTGATGAGCCAATGAACAGACACCAAACCAACAGATCCAAGCAACTGTTCAGCTGTTCCAGCATCCTGGCAATGATGGCAAAAAATGCCTCAGATGCTAAGTCCTCATCTCTTTCAAAACCAGGTCCTTTCATGGCAATGGTTAAGGCAGATCACTGAAAGTATGTCAGCCTTCTCTTCAGAAGGTAAAGGCTTGAATTACCATGACCCTCTGCTTGATGGGCTTCTTGTGCTAGTAGCTGGCTTAAGAAAAGCCTTCTTTTCTGCACTCTTCATCACCCTTGAATCAAACCCTCCTGAGGATGCTCTGAAAATATGCTGACACAAGCTGACAAGCTCAGCCATAGCCCAGGGGGAGGCAGTGCATTCAGGCCTCACAGAGACAAGTCTCTCTTTCCCAGTGTTGTCTTCTGGGAGCTGCTTGGCAGCAAACAGATCTGCTCATTTACCATCCGCCTGCTCACCTGCTCCATCAACCGATGCTGTCCTGCTTCATCTTCCTCTCACTTCCCCTACCTCTTCCCTCTCCTTTTATTTTCCAATGTCCAACTTCATAGCACTCTTCCCTTTTCAGCCTCCATCACAGGTCTGAACACCCTTTAACAGCACAAATATTGCCTTTCCTTACAATTAGGACATGAGAGTCAGCAAAACCCTAGCTCTAGTTGTCTGGGTGCTGGCAGAGGAGCTCACCTTCAGCAATCACCTCCCATACTATGATGGCCCTCCAGGATGCACTGCAGGTTCCCCAGAGCAGAGCCA